GCTCACTGTAGCCTCTGCCTCCCAGGTTGAAGCAATTCTTCTGCCCTCAGCCTCCCTGGTAGCTGGGATTACAGGCACCTGCCACTATGCCTGGCTAATTTTTGTATTTTTAGTAGAGCTGGGATTTCACCATGTTGGCCAGGCTGGTCTTGAACTCCCATCCTCAAGTGATCTGCCTGCCTCAGACTCCCAAAGTGCTGGGATTACAGGTGTGAGCCACTGTGCCCAGCCTTAAAGTCTTAAGAAACTTCCTAAGAGTATTTTTAATTTTTCGTGTCTAGTAAAACATACGTAACAAAACTTGCCGTTGTAACCGATTTTATGTATTCGATTCAGTGGCATTAGGTACTTTCACATTACTGAGCACCCGTCACTGCCATCCGTCTCCAGCACTTTTTTTAAGAGGCAAATTCATAGACACACACGACAGATTTGTATTCCAAGGATGGAGGGCAGGGGAGAATGCAGACTGACTGTTGATGGCTTGGGGTTTGAAACGCTGTGCCCATTAACCAGTAACTCCCTTTGCCCCCTCTCCTTCCCGGCCCTGGCAGCTACCATTCCTCTTTCTGTGAATTTGATTAGTGTTTTCATTTTAAATAAAATTCTACTGAAAACAGTTTTATGTAATGTTACCTGTAGATTAGTCATTCCTAATTTCAAGCGACTAGGGACAGTAATTTTCAGAAAGTCTTTTTAAAAGTCTTATCAGTATTTGCAAGTTGTCTGGTGGTTTCCCTGTGTCAAGTTTTATATTTGATTTTGCAGAATGAACAGGCGTTTGAAGAAGTTTTTCAGAATGCCAACTTCCGATCCTTCATATTCAAAGTCAGGGTCAAAGTAGAGACCTACAATGTAAGTAAGGGCCCCAGGGCTGCAGGGTTAGTGGTGGGGAGTGCTGTTTGTCCCCCACTGCAGCATCATGACACTGTGTGCCAGACCCCAGCGTCACACTTGCCAGGAGTGAGTTACCGTGTGCGGGACCCCCTCCCCAGCAGTGAGTTACCATGCGCCCCACCCCCTCCCCGGCAGTGAGTTACCATGCGCCCCACCCCCTCCCCAGCAGTGAGTTACCGTGTGCGGGACCCCCTC